GGGCCCATCGAGTCCGGTGTCCCATCCCCTGGCTTCAGCAGCTGCATCCGTACAGGCAAAGGGGCTGAGGGTAGCGATGGTGGAAGAGGCAGGGTAGGCGGCCTACCCAAATCACACATGGGCTCCGTGCCTCAGTTTCCCCAGCTGTGACAGCGGCTTGGAGGGGGCTCATTCCTGCCATACCTTGCAGGTCCGACTCAGGACAAAATCCTCTTATTGCCTAATGGCTTCCGGGCTCGGCTGGGTCGAAGGTGTGCCCGCCCTCGCGCCATCTGCCGCCCCCGATGGGCTGCGCCCTGCACGGTGGGCATGGCTTGGTTCACTGCAAACACCCGGACAAATTCCGCGTAGGTTGGGGGATTGCAAAAGGGCGGTTACCAGAACCAGCCTCACCCCTCTCCCAAAAGCTCCGGGTCATCGGGGCTCAGATCACGAGCTGTCCCAGCCTTGACCTAACCCGAGGCAGGGCGGCCTTCTCTCTCTGTAAAGCACTGGCAGGGTCTCAGGAGCCGAGGTTTTTATTCCCTGGTCTGCTGCAGTCTCCCTGTGTGACCTTTGCATCTCTCTGTGCCGTGGTTCCTCCAGTAGGGGCTGTGGGGATGGGACCCCTACCTTGGTCTCTTGAATCTGGAAGCACTTTGGGGATGGCACTATCTCTCGCTCTGCACCACACCTGGCACACTGGGGGGCCCTGATCTTGGTCAGGGTCTGGGCAGCGCCCGGCGCGACGGGGCCCTGACCTCGGTCGGGATCTGTGCAGCGCCCGGCGCGACGGGGCCCCGATCTTGGTTGCTGTGTGTCTGGGCAGCGCCCGGCGCGACGGGGCCCCGATCTCGGTCGCTGTGTGTTCAGGCAGCGCCGGGCGCGACGGGGCCCCGATCTCGGTTGCTGTGTGTCCGGGCAGCGCCTGGCACAATGGAGTGCCCTTCTCCGTCAGGGCCCCCAGCTGCCACCATAACGCAACTAACCGATCAGGGCCCATCCCTGCTCCCCTTAGCTGGCTTCCCACCTCCCTGCCAACTTGGGCTGCCTTCAAAGGGGGTCATTTGTCTCTCTTATCCACCCAGTTCTTCCCAGCCACAAATTCCTCCCGTGACTGGGTGGGTGGGACTGCCACCGCCTGTTTACCCTGTCGATCTGCTGCAGATCCTGTTTGGGAGCTCCGTACCCGTCTGTGCGCTCTGCCCCGGGGCTTGCTGCTGGTGTGTGTGTGTGGGGGGGCCCCATGGAGGAATTGGTTTTCAGGGTGGGGCCACGGTCAGAAGAAGATTGAGGAAGCGCGTTAATTACTGATCGGTCACTCGGCAATAATAGAGAAACAAAAGAACTTTTTAATGACAGGCTGTGTCCCCAGCACCTGAGCGAATAGCACCGCGGCCGATCCCTGCTTTGGGGAGTAGCTTTGGCCCCACAGAGCCATGATCATGAGAAACCACTAGCAGCAAAAGGGGACCCCAGCTACCAGCAGCGACGAGGGTGACCAGACAGCAAGTGTGAAAAATCGGGATCGGGGTGGGGGGGTAATAGGAGCCTATATAAGAAAAAGACCCAAAAATCGGGACTGTCCCTATAAAATCAGGACCTCTGGTCACCCTAGCAGCAACACCTGAGAAGAGCAGTTTCCTCCCCCTCCCGAGAGAGGGGGTGGTAAAGATTAATTAGGCCAAGAGTCCTTTATGCAGCCCTGGGGGGAACAGAGCCTCCCCCCTGAGATTTCCACCCCCAAAAGAGGGTCTTCCCACCTGGTGTGGAGCTCAGTCCTCCGCCATGTATGGGGCGGATGGGGGGCGTGGCTGGAGCTCACTGCGCTGTGGCTATTCTCTGCCCCCCAGGGCCCATAGGGGGCAGAGAGTCATTCAGAGCAGCCCCAAGGTTGCTCCATCCCTTTTGATACCCGGGACCGGTTTGCTGCCTTCCTAAACTGTGTCAGGCAGATCTCAGGGACCGGGGCCCCGGCGGCCCATTCCTGCCGCCAAGCACAGGGATGCGGGAGTGGGGGGCTGAGAACAGGGCCCAGGGTACATCCTGGTGGACCAGTCCCCGGGGAATCTCCCTGCATTGGGGGATGGATCCACGCAGCAGGAGTCGGCCGGGCAGCGGGAGGGTCTCGGGGGCGGGAAGTGAGTGAGGACGGGAGGATCAGAGCTTCGCCCCGCTCCGCCGGGCCACCCCCCGCGCAAAGCCGCCCCCGTGTCTAGCGTCAGGCAGCTCCGGGAGCTGCAGCAGGACAGTCCGGAGAGGGGCGGGCGGCCCAGCCCGCGCCGTGCTCAGGCGTCCTTGCGGGGTGCGAAGCGGCCGGCGGGGGCGGCCGCGGGGCTGGGCCCCTCCAGCCGCAGACGCAGCGTGTTCCCGATGATCAGCTTCTCCAGCACCAGGGAGCCCAGGAACCAGAAGAGGGCGTACTCCAGCGTCACCAGCCCCATGAGGTGGTAGCGGAAGTGGCTGTAGTCCCAGGGGCAGGCGTCGAACCGGCGCAGGAGGTAGCCGGTGGCGAACTCCCACAGGTAGATCCAGAGGGTGTAACACAGGCAGCGGCTCAGCAGGGGGCAGCGGCCCCGCAGCAGCAGGTACATCCGCTCCAGCACCAGGCTGGACGTGCCGTAGATGAACAGGGCCCAGACGCTGGTGACGCCCTGGAACTTCCAGTCCCGCTCGGCCACGAAGGCCCAGGTGGCCGTGAACATCACCTCGCAGAAGTAGCCGTGGATGGCGTAGATGTACCAGCGGGTCAGGGGGCTCAGGGGCTCCGCCCGGCCACCCATGGCGCGGGATCTGTGGGCAGTGGGACATGGTGGGGGGGCGCATTAGTGGGGTGGCACCGCTGGGAAAGGCAATGGAGGGACGTATGGGCTGGAGGGGCTCGGATCCTAGGGAACCGACACAGAGCTGGAGTGCTCCAGAGACAGTGAGTGGGAGCTTGGAGTTAGAGCGGGGGCGGGGGGCGTTCAGGACTCCTGGGTTCCATTCCCAACTCTGAGAAGGGAGAGGATCCTAATGGTTAGAGCAGAGGGCTTGACAGCCAGGACTCCTGGGTTCTATCCCCAGCTTTGGGAGGGGAGTGGGGTCTAGTGGTTAGAGCAGGGGGGCTCTGGGAACAGGACTTCTGGGTTCTATCCCCGGCTTTGGGAGGGGAATGGGGTCTAGTGGTAAGAGCGGGGGGGCTGGGAGCAGGACTCCTGGGTTCTATCCCCAGCTTTGGGAGGGGAGTGGGGTCTAGTGACTAGAGCAGGGGGGCTGGGAGCCAGGACTCCTGGGTTCTGTTCTCCACTCCAGGAGGGGAGGGGGGTTTCGTGATGACAAGTGAAGGGACGGGGGTTCTGTTCCCGGTTGTAGGGTGGCTAGTGCGTAGGACGGGGTGTCAGCACCCCCAGGCCTAGGAAGGGAGTGGGGTCTAGTAGTTAGAGCCGATAACCTCATCATCTGGATTCCTAGGTCCAGTTCTCAGCTCCGCCACTGACACCCTGGGCATGTCCCTTCCATGCACCCTGCCTCGGTTTCCCCAGCGGTAAAAGGAGGGCAGCGGCACTGTGCTATCGCCCTGCCGAGCCTGGGTTAGCCGCCCGAGCCTGCCACGCTGCTTCCAGCCTTGCCCGTCTTCCACGCCGCTCTTAGCAGGCCCGTTCGGCCACGCGCAGTCTCAGGCTGCTAGCAAAAGGCGGGGGGGGGGGGGGGAGCAGGGAAGCAGTTGCAAGCAAAATGCATTTGGAGCAAGGGAAGGGTTAAAGCAACACCCCAGCTTGGCAGCTGTGTGGGCAGGTACCAGGGCCGTGCCAACCTCAGCAGGGGGTTAGCTAGGGGTAGGGATGTGGGTGATGCTTCCTGGGGGTACCCGAGCTTGCAAGGCACTTCACTACCCCCTGGCATCAGCAGGAGGAAGCGGAGGTCCGTCCTCCATCGCTACCAGCGTCTGCCACACAAGCTCTGCCTTCCGGCTTTGCTCTCCCTTTGCGGGTTCACCGTCGGCAAATGCCAAACCCCGCCCCCCACTCCCAAGTCCTCCGGGCACCTCCCTACATCGCCCAGCTCCTGGTCCACTCACCAAATTCCCAACTCTCAAGGCGCAGGACACCCCCAGCGTACCTGTTCCGCCTTGGACCACGGCTCCGCTCCAGCCCCGGCACTTAGATTTGCTTGTAGAGAAAGCGAGGATCCGTTTATTCACCAAAGAGCAGAGATTCAAAGGGCAGCCAGAAGGACTGGAAACAAAGGGAAAACACAGAAAGAAAAAAAATAAATAAATCACAACACGCATCCTAGACCCCGCCTACCCTATGATCTAGGCATCAGCTGCCCCGAAGGGCTCGTCCGCACCTGAAACACTACAGCTGCGCCGCTGCCGTGTAGACACAACTGACGCCGGAATTCTTAGCGCTGTCTACACCAGGGCTTAGGTCGGCTTAACTAGATCACTTGGGGGGTGTGTGTGTTTCACACCCCTGAGCGCCACAGCTGGCTCGATGTACTTTTCTCATGTAGACCAGCCCATCCACATGTCCGCTGCGTGACCCAGACGGACTCGGAGGGCTACACTGGCAGATGTAGAGCACTTTGAGTTAAACCAGCCTTTGGAGAGCGCGGTAGGGAAAGCGCTACAGTCTGTCCACACTGACAGCTGCAAGGGCACTGGCGTGGCCACATTAGCAGCTCTTGCAAGGGCCACAGAGAGCAGTGCATTGTGGTAGCTATCCCAGCATGCAAGTGGCTGCAACGTGCTTTTCAAGGGGGGGGGGGCGGTGGAATGTGACAGGGAGTGTGTTGTGTGTATGTGGGGGGAGAGAGAGTGGGTTTGTGGGGGGCTGAGAGCAGGTCTTGTAAGTTCAGACAGCATCAGACCTCCCCCCGCCTCTCTCTCTCTCTCTCACACAGCATTCCACAGTAATGGGTGCTTTGTCTCCGAGCAGATAAGCAGCCGGCTGTCAGAAAGGGAGCTTTCAAAGGGCATTTCCGCATTCCTGCAGCGATTCCAAAACAATGACAAGAGTGGCCACTTGCCTTAAGGGGATTATGGGACGTTTCCGGAGGCCGATCAGAGCACAGTAATGCAACACCTCATCCACACTGACACCCGTGCGTTGTAGCCAAGGCGCATCAAACATTATTCCACTCGCCGAGGTGGAGTACCAGCAGCGCTGTAGCCCCGGAGTCAGAGCGCTCTACGTGCCTGGCCAGTGTGGACGGGGAGTGAGCGAGGGTGCCCGGGGCTGCTTTAATGCGCTGCAACTCGGAAGTGTAGCCAAGCCCTGAATCTTTCCCCGGCGGAGGGCAAGGGGGCGGAGCGCTTGTTTCATGAATGGAGGATCACCGCCACGCGCGGCTCTGGCCACGCCCCTGATCCGCCCCCTACGGGGTATGGGGGGCAGAGAATAGCCACACACAGCGCAGTGCGCTCCGGCCAGGCCCCTGCTCCGCTCCAGCCACTGTGGCCCTTATTACCCCTTCCACACCAGCCTGGGGGACCGCTGAGGGGCCTGTTCCTACCCCACCGCAGGGCCGAGGTGGGGTCTGAGCGGGAATCAGGCCCATTGACTTCAACCAGCAGCGAGAGAGAGCAGAGGAGCAAAAACGGGGTCTTCCCCCATCCCCGGTCCACGAGGCACATCCCCAGCGGGGCTGGCCCCGGCACCACCATATACAATAACAAAACCTCCGGACGTGGCTTATTGCTTAACTGCCTGGAACCTGAAGCCAACTCCAATTGTTGCCAGGCGGGCAGATCTGCCCGAGCGACCAGGTGACTCACAGTGCCCAGTGTCCCGTAAATACACCGGATTAGCTGCTAATATCGGGCGGCGGTGGCCAGGACGAGCCGAAAGAGACAGTCTTCGCCCCCAGCAAAATCCTGAGGGGGGGTTGTGTTTTAATTACCTGCCCGGCTAATCTCCACCTGGAATTCTGTCAGCGCGTGTTCAACTAATCCCGGGCGGGCACCGCTGAGAGGCGGCAGAGGAAAAACCAGCTCCTCCAACAGGTGCCAAAGGAGGTCATGGCGTTTAAAGGTCGGATCGGCGAGTCTGACTCCTGGGTAACCTCTTGATTTGAAGCCATCAAGAGAAGGAAAATCCACCACTGCCCTGGGGAGTTGGTTCCCTTGGTTAGTCCCCTGCGCGGTTAAAAAACCGGTGCCCGGTTTCCAGTTTGAATTTGTCCAGCTTTAAACTTCTTATTCGGCCTTTCTCCTCTAGATTAAAAGATCTATCTTCTTCCTGCGAAGATCTTAAACCAGTGGTTCTCCACCTATTGACCATTGTGGGCCGCACATGCAGCTCTCTCTGTGTAACGTGGGCTGTGGCCACACAAGATATAGACTGCCTTATGGCCCTGAGGATGTCCTACGGGCTGCAGCTGCGTTGACTGGGCTGCAAGCAGCCCGTGGGCCGAGAACCACGGTCTTAGGCACCGTGATCAAGTCACCTTGCCGGCTTCTTTCAGAGGGGACGTTTGCACCACACACGTTTGCTGCCTCAGGGTTGAGCCCAAGCCCCCTTCCGTCCACAGTGCACACAGGACCCATGCCCTAGGACCCTGCTGGGGATGGTGGGGGTCAGAGCCCAGGTCCTGCTTAGACGTGGATCCAAGCCGTTATTTTGCACTGCGGACACAAGCCGCTGCCCCGCGGCAGAAGGGCTGCGTAGCGCCGTACGGACGCGTTACAACGGCGGTGAGATCCCGGATCCAACGGCTGTAAATGCAGTGCGGACGCTCCCGAGCGGGCTTGGAAACCCCCCCGCCCACAAGCCCGGGTCCCGCAGATCCAGGTTTCCAATGCCGTGTAGACAGACCTCGAGGAGCTCTTTAATATATCCATGGCACGCAGCGCCGCACAGTAGCCGCACTTGTGGGAGGCAGCTCCAGATTTTCCGCTGGTCTCCTTTGCCTTTGGGTAGGACGGCCACAGCTCCTTCCCCTTTGTCCGCATCTCCTTTACAAGACGGGAATAAACATGCAGTTATTCCCTAGCTGGGCTTCCGCCATCCAATCTAGGACTTTCCTGGCCGAGTAGTGGTAGGTGGAGCCAGCCCTGTCTGGGTGCAAAGGTGGGCTAGCGGGAAGAGTAGCGTATTCAAAACACGCTGGGGATTTAGGGGTGGGTGGGTTGAGGGGCTGTGCACTCTGGGCAGCAGCGTCAGAGTTTTTCACACCGCTGAGCGACGTGGTTAAGCCGACCTAAATGAATCATGGAGTCACAGCATCTTCCAAGCCGCTTTCCTCCCCAAAGGAGAAAGATTCCAGCATCCAAATTCCATCCTGTCTTCTCAAAATCCTCAAGGCCTCTACAAAGGTCCACCGAGCATGCGTTTCTTCTGCACACACACATCTTAAATCCTTGCGCCGCTTCACCATCCATCAGCCGCCATGCTCTGCCCCAGAGGCGGAAGCATTTTGTTGAATCATGAGGCTTTGCGTCCTGGGCCCTCGCAGGACAGCCTGTTCATAAGTTCACCCGTCACCCCGAAATCTCCCAAGCTTGATCTCCGTCTGCAGGGGAATATTCTGTGTTGATCCAAATCCCACCTTTCCTCATTCGCTCTGCAGCATCGCTCCTCGTACCTAAGCTAAAAGATCCCCGCAGCGCCCAAAAATCCTGTGGGGTGTGCTCATCAAGTGGGTTACTCCCAGAACAATTGTAATGGGAAAGTGGGGACAGGGACGTGCTGAACCTGGGACATATGAAGGTGACAGCTTGGAGGTGCTGTTTGACCCAGCCTGCTGAGTCCAGGGGCAGATAAGGGGTCAGTTTGGGAGTGCCGATTGACCCAGTTCTTTCAGA